AGTTAATGCACAAACCAAGAGGCGGAGGCGGAAACGGAAGTTGCCCACATGCACAAGATGCGGAGGCGGAAACGGAAGTTGCCCACAGCCAATATGTCTGCCGAGAGCGACGTTTTGTGAAGGAAAAACAAAACTCGTGGAAGATGGCAGACGGAGGAGTTGACGAGCTTTCGCAGCTCGAATATTTGTCTTTGGTGTCGAAAGTCTGCACGGAGCTCGACAACCATTTGGGAATTAATGACAAAGACTTGGGTGAATATTTTAAACTCTTCAGTCGTCGTTTTGAAACCAGTTAGCTTGCTAGTTAGCCACTAGCTAGCTAACGACTTCATTTTTGCCCGGATTAAATTATTGTTTTCAACAAATATCGTCTAAAGTTTAAGTTTAGATTGTTTGTAGCTTTTCGAGACGACTTGCCTTTTGTTTTGTGTATTTTAATGCTGTAGTTTGGTTCAKCCAGTGCTAATGTTGTGTTTGTTTTCTAGCTGAGTTTGTCATCAGTCTCGCTGAAAAACAACCGAGCTTCGACGGRTTCAAAGTACTTTTACTCGAAAATGGAGCCGAATTCACAGTAAGTCTGCGGCTGTATWTACTGTATAATTATCCACATGTAAAGACACTCATTAACCCTGCAGCTGATGTGTTTTGTTTTTTACTTAATGTAGGATTCTCTCATCAGTAACTTGCTCAGACTCATTCAGACCATGCGACCAGCTTCCAAAGCATCAACCAGTAAAGGTAAGGTGATGCTACTGAGATGCTTTTTGGACATCTTTTTGATGTTATAACCTCATGTACGTACTTACTCCTCCGATTGAATGTTCTCCATTTTCAGCCTCTGAGGTTTTCAAACCAAAGTCTGAAAAAGAAAAGTTAAAAGAGATGTTTCCTGCACTCTGTAGAGCAAACGATCCATCACCAAAGGTATGTTTATCTCAATATTCATAAAAAATGTCGTCTTTCGTAGCTCCACTTTTTAATTACACAACTTAATTGTGACAAAACATGTCAATTTATTGATTTTATTTGATTGCAGATGCTATTTTTTTTAGATAATACATCAATCTGTTCATCCACAWAGAGAATCTACAAGAGATAAGCTACATTTTGATAAAGAAAACTAATCTCAAATGGTTTTGATTTATTTCTTATKGTTTTTGTTTCAACATAGCGACTGCTGGATGAAGATGATGTGAAAGTAGCAGCTGATGCGATGAAAGAGCTTGAGATGTTTATGCCCAGTGCAAGTGGGACTGACGCTAAAGTGAGCAAGAACAAGTAAGACGAGATTTGTTTGTGTAAAAACTTACAACTTTAGCCTTTTTTTAAATTATGAAACATGGATTTTCACTTTTGCTTCAATGTCGTTTTCCACCCCCCCATTTTCACAGATCAGAAAAAAGCCGACGTCGCAGCCGGAGTCGCAGCAGAGAAAGGGACAGACACAGGGACAGGGACAGGAAGAGACGGCACCGCTCTCGATCGCGTTCCAGGTCCAGGTCTCGCTCCAGAGACCGCGACCGCCACAGAGACAGGGATCGTGGGAAACGAAGAGACAAATCTTCCCGATGGGGCGATCTTTCACCCAGCCCCCGGAAAGACCAAGACAAGGACAGTGACAGGTGGAAGGACAAACACGTGGACCGGCCTCCTCCAGAGGAGCCCTCTGTTGGTGACATCTACAACGGCAAAGTCACCAGCATCATGCAGTTTGGATGCTTTGTTCAGCTGGAGGGGCTAAGGTCAGCATCAATTCACTAATCTACGTAACACAACTTGAACATTTCAGTTTTAAAGGGATCCACGATTAGTTGTAACATTAGACTTTATTTAATAAACATATATTTTAACTGTAAAATAAAGACTGTAAAAATACTGTAGGATGTTTAGTTTTTATCATTTTTAAACTAAAAGTTTAAAAATACATTACACGGACTGGGCCATTTTATTTACATGCAAAGCATTCTGGGTAAATGATATCAACTAGGTCATCGGTGCGAGGCTGCTAGCGAGCTATATCC